TCAGATAAGCAAATAAGCGTGTGGCAGCTGGCAATGACCTGAAGGAAGGGAGGAGAAGGGTGATGCGTATGAAGATGGGAAATGTGGGATTGGGATGAGTGTGGGATGGGAGGAGACGTATTGAAGTAGCGGTAGTGGAGGTAGTGTTAGAAAGAGGGGAAGACGACAAGGAAGAGGAGAGAGAGGGGAGGGGATAGGAGAGGGGAAGGAAAAGAGAGAAAGAGAGCCGAGAGGGAAGGAAATGGGAGTACCTTCAGAAGTTGTGCAGTGCGGAATCAATGACAGTTCACTGAACTTTCATCTGCAGTGAGTGATTTGATTAAGGAATCATTTTGATTAGAGGAGGCAAAAAAATAAGCGCATCATGACAAGTGGCGATGAGCTGGCGATGATGAAAGGACGACAGCTCATTGAACTTTCGTCTGCGCACTGAGTGATTTGATTGAGGGATAAGTTTTCAGGAGGCACAATAAGCGAATGACACGTGGCAACGATCTGGCAGGGATGAAAAAGTCACGTGGCAATCAGATGATCATGATTGATCTCGGTTGAGTTGATGGATACGATTATTATTTCAGCACATTAATTAATCGTCGACTAGTTTGGATTGTTGTTCTCTGAATGATCTTCTTCTTTCACTGTCAGCGTTGTTTCCTTTCGCTGCACATGGAGATGCAATCACGTCCACGTGAAGGCCATCGTGCGGAGTAAGGTATCCCTTTTTCTTCTTTCTTTCTTTCTTTCTGTTTTTTTTTTTTCGCTTTATTGCACAATTGCATTGATTCTTGAAAAGCTTTTTCCCCTTTTTTTTTTTCGTGATATTGCTTTCAATTCCATAATCGTAGTCGTCAGCAATGATTATAATAATAATCATCAGTAAATGATTATAATAATAATAATTATCAGCAATGATTATATTTCAATCTAGTTTTTCAGACGGCTGACGACAACATTTTTCTCCTCCGCGCCGAGGGAGCATACTGTCTAATCGTCACTGGTCAGACGGAGGTCAATGTATATGGATGTGAATGGATGGATTTGACTGGATAGATTGGTAAGGTACATTGCTGGAGGATGAGATCAATGGATATAGATTCGATCGGATATGAATGGATGGATTTGATTGGATAGATGGGTAAGGTACATTGAGGAGAGGATTAGATCAATGGATATAGATTCGATTTGATGGAGATTTGATTGGATTGGATTTGATCGAGATGTGATTGGATTGGATTGGATTGAATGGGATGGGATGGGATTGGGTGGGATTGAAATTTTGCTGAGTACCTTTATGCTTTTATGTATTGGCGGGAACACTGCTTTTTTTTTCTTTGTTAATTAGTAAATTTGAGTCAACTAATATTTTATTTTTTTTAATCAATTTTTTGGGGGGTGACAGATTCGGTCACAATTAGGTGCACAAGGATTTAGATCAGTGGATGGATTAGATTGGATGGGATAAAAATTCATAAAATTGATTTTACCTTTTTCTGTGTTGTTATGCATTGGCGGGAACATTGCTTTTCTTTCCTTTGTTAAATTAAATTTGAATTTTATTAAAGTTTTAATTTGTCAAATTGTTTTTTTGGACAGATTGGGTCACAACAATTAGGTACAGAACGATTAGATCAATGGATAGATTGGGACTCGACTAGATTGGAATTGGTTTGGATGGGATGATCTAATTACCTTCATGTTTTTTGTGTATTGACGTGAACACTGCTTTTTTCCCTTTTTTGGGGGGGAAAACGAACACTGCTTTTCGTCTCTTTTTGTTAA